GGGTTTAGGTGATCTTTAGGTGGTTTCAGGTCAAGTCTTTTTTTGCCTGGGTGACCCCAAACTACTCTGGATCGCTTGGAATTTCCTACTGCTGTGGCACCCTTGGGGGATGTCGTGTTGGAGAGGCTGCTGTGCTTTGGAATTTCAATCTGGGCCAAAGATGTAACACACACACACACAGAGCCAGCACAGCTCCAGCAAAATGACTTCCAGACGCAGAACTGACTGATATTGAATGTCAGCAGAATTCCTATTCCAGCCTTTTTTCAGGAGTGGAACTTGCTTGGCCTCCCTGCCTCAGGGAGGGGGGCCCTGCAGGAATCTTGCATTCAGCCTAAGACTCTTAATATGTTAAAAGTTGTCTAAAATACTGTTGTGGTTCTGAAGCTGCTCAGCATTTCTGGAGGAGATTGGCTTTATTTAGGGCCTCGCAGTGATGGGATTAATGTTGATTCCTGACCCACATACTGTGTGATGAAAAGGCATAAATTGGCTACATTTTCTTACCCAGCACCCTGAATAGAAACTGAAAACTGGGATTTCCTGCACCTTGGAACGTGATCCTTGTTTCACTCCTGGGATTTGGGGTCTGTGTGACCTCCCTCTTCCACAGGAACAAGAAAACCCTTTTGCTCCCTTGCATTTGTGCCGTGGGGGGGTGCTGGTGGTGTGAAAGGCACATTCCTCTCTGCTTCCCTGCTTTGGGAAGACAGAAGACATCCATTTCTGTGTTAGCCAGGAGTAGGTTTTGGGTTTTTTCAAATTCCTGTGGTGTTTTTAGCTATTTTTACTTCATGGAGAAACTCCCAAGTGAAAAGAGCTGGTCACCTCTGAGCTTCCTCAGCTGCAGATGGATACCTGAGCTGTGTCAGTCCACCACATCTCTGTTGGATGCAGCCCTTTACATCCCCAGAAATGTGGGGTGGTCAGGAGGGATGGGAATGGGTGGTGAGGGTTGGATTCGGAGCGTGGAGCAGTTGGAGATAAAGCAACACGAGGGAGCAGCTGGAGGTGCTGGGGGACTCCTGGACAGAATTCCCTGCTGACTGTGCTGGAGTCTCATGGCAGGTTCAGTCTGTGCATTCCTAGGAAGGGGAAAGGAAAAAGGAAAAGTCAGAGGAGTAGGTGGTGACTCACCAAGGAACAGAGCACAGAGGTTGGAGGGGGCTGAGGGGGGATGAGGAGCTGTGCCTGAAGCTTGTTTCACATGGAGTTCAGGCTGCCCTGAAATGGAGATTATCTCAGCTTCTGTGCTTCCAAGCATAAATCCTGCCCCCAGAGGAGCTGGCACTGCCACCTTAAATTGTCCCCAGATGTCTCAGGCTGTGATATGCCCAAATCATTTCACTGGTGCCTTTTTCAGTGTATATTTTGCTAAACCATGTCAATGTTAACCACTGCTGGTCTGCTGCCACTGCTGGGGCTCTTCTTCTTCCCACTGCTGTCCTGGGAGCCTCTCCCACCTGGGATATGTCTCACAGCTCCCCTCTCCCTTCCTGCATCCTGCTCCTTTCCCTCCCAGTGCTGGTGGCAGTTTGTGTCCCCTCTCTTCCCAGCAAAGCCCCAAAGCAGAGGTGTTGGCCCAGGAATCCCAGCTGGAATTCCCAGGAATACAGGCTGGAGGGTGTGTTTTGGGGAGGAAAATGGTGGGATTAGTGTTTGCAGCTTCCACTATTGGCAGAGTCCATCCAGGAGCAGGCTCCTACTCCTCTCCTGTGGGATCAAACTAGTGAAGGAGGGCAGGTCTCCCTTTCTTCCAGAGGCTTCTATCCCCAAACTGTCTGGTTTTGGTGGTTTTTCTGGGGCATGGGGTCAATATTATGAACAAACAGAATGTGCCTCTGCTCTGCAGAGCACAGATGTGCTGCAGGACAGTGTTTAATGTGATTTTGTGCTAAGGAAGAGCTTGGGCTGAGCTGAGGAGCAGTGGCTGGGGATCGCTGTGGCCCCTTGTTACCAACCCCCTTTACCTGCCCCGTAGGAGTCCTGCTGAGCCAATGCAATCCCTGTCCCACAGAAGTCTGGGAAGCAGTGCCACCCCTGCCAGCAGTGCCAGCCCGCTGACATTCCCTGTGCCAAGCAGGTAACCTTCTGCTGCTCCCCTAAAATCCCACCCTGGAATGGGGCTCAATCCCTGCAGGGATCCCTGCGTTTCTCCTCCCTAGCAGTGCCTGCTCTGACAGCTGCTCCCACTCCAGTTCACTCAGCACCTCATCCCGTGGGTCCCTTCCAGCTCAAGATATCCTGGGAGATTCTGTGCTGTGTGGCCAGAGCGTGTCCAGATGCCTCTGGAATCCGGAGCAGTGGGACACGTCACCAGTGGCACGTTTTTAATCCTTCCTCACACCTATTTCCAGGCTCCAGGCTTTGCTCTGTGAAGGGGTTTGGAGGGGACTGCTGGGTCACCCCCACTGACCTGAATTCCAGCAGCTGGAGAACGTGGGGTTATCCCTCTCCCACATTTTACACTCTCCTTGAAGACGTGGATCCGATGCCGCTTATTTTTTTAGCATTTTCTTTTTTGTTTGTTGTTAATTAACTGTTGCCCTCACAGACCAATTCCCAGCTGCCATTCCTACTTTTGCAGGAGGCAGGATGGATTTTTTGCTGGGTGTGGTGGATGTGAACTGGGATTCACTGGTGTCCTAGTTAGGACAGCTGAGATCAGTTCATCATGGTGGGTGTAACCCAAAACTGTATTCTATAGCCTTCCATGTCATTTCCCAGAAACTAGACTATTGTTGTCAATAGACTATTCGCACCCTCTGCCCATAGAGCATGGTGGGTGTAACCCAAAACTGTATTCTATAGCCTTCCATGTCATTTCCCAGAAACTAGACTATTGTTGTCAATAGACTATTCGCACCCTCTGCCCATAGAGCATGGTGGGTGTAACCCAAAACTGTATTCTATAGCCTTCCATGTCATTTCCCAGAAACTAGACTATTGTTGTCAATAGACTATAAACTAGGTGTTAAGAGGCCTGTGAGATAGAAGGATGTTTCTGTCCTCACACCCTTTGTGAACTCCCCGCCCTGAGGGGAGTACCAAGCATTCCTGCCTGAACTGGAGGATATATAATCTTGGAACACCACTTTGTTCAGGCCCCAGGGTACTGGGTTATACATTTGGGTTTTTGTGGGTTGAGACCAATTGTTTGTTTGTATTATTGTACTTACTGTATTATTTTAACAAATTGTTATTCTGACTTATAATCTCTCCTTTGAGTTGGGTTCATTCCCCCTGGTGTTCCTTGGGCCCTGTTTGAGTCCAAAGTAAAGGGAGAGGGGAAGAACCTGCTGGTGGGAGAGCTGCTGCAGTCTGGCCAGAACTGGTGATCGCAGTCCAGTGGTGGTCTAAGTCTGGTTGAGAGCGATGAGATGCAGCCGTCCTCTGGATCCCACGAGTGGGTTGAAAAATGTTCCAAAACTCCAAGATTATATATCCTCCAGTTCAGGCAGGAATGCTTGGTACTCCCCTCAGGGCGGGGAGTTCACAAAGGGTGTGAGGACAGAAACATCCTTCTATCTCACAGGCCTCTTAACACCTAGTTTATAGCCTGAGGAGTCAGGCTCTATGGGCAGAAGGTGCGAATAGTCTATTGACAACAATAGTCTAGTTTCTGGGAAATGACATGGAAGGCTATAGAATACAGTTTTGGGTTACACCCACCATGATGAACTGATCTCAGCTGTCCTAACTAGGACAACTGGTTTGGGACTCTGTCCCAGATCCCCTCAGGCTGCAGAATTCCTTCACTCAGGCCACCTCAGGGGGCTTTTAAGACTCTCTTAATTCACAACAGACAATTAAAAATCAAAATCCTGTTCTTGAAAGACAAAAAAATTTGTAGTTGCGTTGCCTGAATCGAGTTAAGAGCTTCTGACCCTCACTTTTTATGGCTGCATAGCTGAGGGTTTAACAACCCAGACGATGCCTCGGGGTAGTTTAATTCCCATCAAGAAAGTTTTAGGGTGTTTTTTTTTTTTTTCTTATTGTGTTTACAGGAAACACTTCTTGTTTCTGTACAGGATGCATTTTCAGAAGTTTACATACTGTTTTAGGAAAACTGAATTACTTCAGAAGTCAATTCTATAGGGTTTTAAGTCATCCCTCACCAGGGATAAGGCCACCAGGGAAACCTTTAGTTTCCAAATCTTGATTCTCTGATCGTGTTCTTATATCTAAAATTTTAAAAAAAACCTACATAAAGCCAATCAAGGCAGCTCTTTGTCTTATTTTATAAATTCAACAGTGTGTGAACTTGAAGGGGTTTTTATGCTTTTGCATTTTATCTTCAGAAAGTCACTTCTTTTTAGAGCAAAAATCAAGAAATCTTTTTCCAAGCGATTTGATCCGGTGGGTATTTTTTTTTTTTTTAAGGAGTCATGGTAACACTTCTGTAAGGGAGCCAAGGTGCTGTTGTGAGCAGAGATAAAAAATTCAGGCATTTTGTCATGATTCTGTGTCCTGGTTTGAGCCTGGGTGACAACCAAGCCCCACTCAGCCCTCACTCAACCCCTGCCCTGCTGGGATGGAGGAGAGAACTGGGAGGGCAACAGTGAGAAAATGTGGGTTGAGATGAACAGTTCAATGTGTAAAAGCAAAGCAAACCAAGGAATTCATCCCACACTTCCCAGTTTCCCAGTGGCTGGGAAAGCAGGGCTCCATCACACCCAGCCATGACTTGGGAAGGTGCCATCACTCCCAACATCCCCCCGTCCTTCTTCTCCCTCAGCTTCATCCACTGAACGTGACACCACGTGGTCTGGAATATTAACTCTCTCCCACAGTCTCCAGGTTCTGTATTTAGATCTCTCTAAACTAAAAGCCAGTTTTATATTTAAATTTATATTATTCTGGGTCCAGAACCGAAAAATTAAAATATCAATTATTTGGTGATGTTTTCATAAGGGTTTGGGGGTTTTGTGTGTTTTTTTTTTTTGGTTGCCCGTGTGGTTTCCTGTGCTCTGCACCACTTGAAAGTTGCTTCTCAGCCCATGGGGTGGTTGCCTGTCCAGGAGGGTGTTGGTAACCCACTGGTCATGTTTGGATGATATGAAAATATTCCTACGTGGATAATACTCTGAGTATCTGGTGTAGAATCACTAAGGTTGGAAAACACCTCCAAGGTCATCAAGTCCGTGTGTCGAGCTTCTGAAACTTGTAAATGTGAACCTTTAGTCAAAAGCAGAGAGTTTGAGGTGAACAGAAATCACAGGAAATACGAGAGACTGCAGCTGCACTGTGGAAATTCTGGTAATGACTAAGCAGGTGTTGGTTTTGTTTTGCAGCCCAGTTCCAGTTCTGTGCATAATCCTGTGAAGTGTCTCTTTCCCCTGAGATGTGAGAAGTGCTCAGAGCACTCTCGACTCAGAAAATGTATTTCTAGTCCTTGGGTTTGCTGGTGAAATGGCACAATTTAACTTTTAGGGAGGGGTCGTGCTCCTGATAAACACCTGTAAATAATAATTTGTGGTGGATTTGGATGTGACCAATTTGGTTTGGTTTGTTTGGTTTTTGGTTTTTTTTGTTGGACCAAAGGATTCCTCGTGGTTCATCAGTAATTTGGGATTGTTGGATTGGCTCCAGATTTGGGGGAACTTCTCATTTAGTTGTTGGCCTTTGAATAGAAATTGTCCACGACTGGACATCTCTGGAAAGGACAAGCCAGGCAGCTCTGGGCTGTCTTCTTCTGGAAAGTGCTGGGGTGTTATCCCTGTAAGAAGGAAAAGTGCATTAATGACTAAGAAATGCCTGCCTGGAAGAGGATCTTGAATTTTCTCCATGTGGGTCACATCCTGCCACCTCTCAGTGAAAGTTTAATTTCCAGGCAGGTTTAAGGTGCTTGTACCAGCTCCTAATTGACCTCCCTTAATGACCTACTTCCAGCAGGTTACTGGGATCTGTCCCAGATCCCCTCAGGCTGCAACATTCCTTGCCTTCACTCAGGCCACCTCAGTGGGTTTTTAAGGTCCTGTGATTCACAACAATCAATTAAAAATCAAAATCCTGTTTTGAAAGGCAAAAAAATTTGTAGTTGCATTGCCTGGATCGAGTCAAGAGCTTCTGACCCTCACCTTCATGGCTGCACAGCTGAGGGTTTGAAAACCCTCATAGTAATTATTTGTGTGATAAAGGTGAATTCATTTATTGAAATGAAGCTGTGAGAATTTCCTAAACCAGACCACACTCTGTCTCACTCACTGGGTTGTTGTTTATTAGGATTGTTTTCAGCTTAACTGAAATTCATCATGTCAGGATGTGTTGACACCACTAATTAAATAATGGATTTAAAATAGCTTGGCTTGAATGATAAAAAACCTGCCTCATTTGCTGATTTCTGCTGCGTTATAGCAAATATGTGTAGTTTTAGTGCAATTTGGGCTGGTTTCTTTGTGCATTTAGGGGTCTACATGTGGGTGCTGTGTTCAGGCCACAGCAGAAGGGACACACAAAACTCTACTTGCAGTTTCCTTCTCTCATTTGTTCAATTATTTGTGGGGCATTCTCTGCTGTTCCTCCTTGGTTTTGTCCATTATCCCATTTTTGGCCTCTGGAATCCCAGGCTGTGAAGGGATTCCAGCACTAAAGAGGTGACCTGTCCATGTTCCATTAAGACCATTCCAAGTGTTGATCCATTCACAGGGAATGAGGGTGGTGTGTCCTGTCATAACTCCAGCTCTGAACTGATGCTCGTTTGAGGAATATAAAAGCAGCCCTATTTTTATCTCGTTTAGAAATTGAAAAAATTCAGAAGGATGAAACAACAAAGAAGGAGGAGGAAGAAAACTACCTGGATTTATTTTCCCACAAGAATATGAAACTGAAAGAACGAGTTCTGATACCTGTCAAACAGTACCCCAAGGTGAGGGCCAGAAAAGAGCTCCTGAATCTCTGGGGTTTGCTTATTTTCTGTGGATTTTGTGGCTGACTGAGAGATAGTGGCTGTCAGAGTGTCAGCAGGAGTTAATACTCCCTTCCACTATCACTGTGGAATTTTTCCTGTGCAGGCTTGCAGGATCTTGTTTCTAATATATTGCATTTCTAAAATGTCTTGGGATAAAGCTTAAATGGTGATGCACAGCTGGGATATTTTATTGCTGGGATAGGCACTTCCATGGGTAGAGCTTTGTGTTTTACAGTTAAAAAACTCATTTAGCTCATTTAAGACTCGCTGCCTGTAAAACTGCTGCAGAGTAGATGTTAGAATTAAACACTTCAGGGGAGTTAATTGAGCTTGGTTTTTCTGGTGGAGGAGCATTTTCTTCATGAAAAGAATGTTTTGAAACTTAAAATTTTTTTTTTGGTCTGTATTTTTTGGTGAGGTGAGGAGCAAATGGAGTGACTGATTTTTCTTTTTTTTTTTGTCAGCCAACATGACATTCAGAAAAGCTTCTGTTAAATCTGCTGGACTCTGGAGCTAATTTGTTTCCTTTTTTTTTTTCTTTTAATTCACTTGCAGTTCAACTTTGTTGGAAAGATTTTGGGACCTCAAGGCAACACCATTAAGAGACTTCAGGAAGAAACTGGTGCTAAGATTTCTGTGCTGGGGAGGGGCTCAATGAGAGACAAAGCCAGGGTAAGGGCATCACCTTGAAAACATGCACACACACAATTCCTCTCATACTGCTGTGAGAGGCAGTGGCTCTGGGAGCATTTTGTAAAAGATTAAACCATTCTAATCCAAAAGCAAAGCAGTAGGAATTGTTCTGGGCACGTTGGGAGCAATTGGATGGGGGCTGAAGTGTGATGTATATTTTCTTTATGAGGAGGACTTATAAACCAGGCATCTTGTGCTACCCTGTACCCTTGGATGCAGAGATGGCTTATGTGAGATGTGAAATACAAAGTTTATAAAATCAGAATTAATCCCAGTTACTCCCTGAAGAGTCCTTCACTGAAGGAATATGTTTCCCCTCCATAAAAAAAATGAAATCCTTTTTCTAGCTGTTCTCTCTGAAGTCCTTGAATTCTCATGGTTCATTGAAGATCTTGGAGCAGTATGTTCCTGATAATCTTTAGTGAATCACAAAGTGCCAGGAGGTGTTTTTATAACAGGGAAAAAAAATGAAAAGAATGTTTGGGTTTTTTTTTTTCCCTGCTTGTTCCAAAAACTGAGCTAAGAGTCAACAGAGCTGTAACTTAATTCAGGTTTTACTCGAGCTGCATGAAAAGCTTTTACACTTCCAGCTTGTTTGTAGCTTCTTAAATAACTGAATAACAGTCTGAGTAACAGAAGTGTCTCACAACAGAGTTACAGAACCTTGTTTGAGGCATTAGAGCTTCCTGAGGTGGTAAAGAGCACCTTGGCAGAAAGGTGGTGTAGAAGAGGAAGAACAACAAGCTTGGATATAAATCTTGGGGGGGAAAAAAATTGGCTGGGGTCGATTAAAAATATTGCCATTAGCAACCTGCTCAATCCACAGCCTGTTTGCATGATCTGTGTCCAGGTGCTTTTACAGACATTTCCTGTTGAAGGCTCAGGAAACAGGGGAAAGAAAAGCAGTTTTTCTCTGTGTGTGTGTGTGGTTCAGCCTCAGGAATCTCTCCACGTGCTCTGTTTCAGGAGGAGGAGCTGCGCAAAGGGGGGGACCCGAAATACGCTCACCTAAACATGGACTTGCACGTCTTCATCGAGGTTTTTGGGCCCCCCTGCGAGGCCTATGCCCTGATGGCTCATGCCATGGAGGAGGTCAAGAAGTTCCTTGTTCCAGTATGTATATGCTGGCACTCTTTTTGGTTTTGAAGGAGGTGGGTGGGAGGTGAACCTGGTTCAGGATGGGTAAGATCTGCACAGTGTAATCTCACTTGGGGTGGTTGAGGGAACCTGGAATATAAAGTGGCAGCTTCAGATAACCCTCTTAATCCTGCAGAAGGTATTTATTATTCCTCTAACCATGATTAGAATGACAAACCATACAGGGTAGTGGTACAGAGTACTTGGAGTAGGTATTTCCATCCCAGTATGAGCTGTGGATACTGGGAGTGAGCAGCTTGTCCAGCTCCACGTGCCAGCTTTAGTGGGAGAATAAGTTTAGTCTTGCCTGGCATGGAAGAGAATTCTTAGATGGGTTCCTCTGACTTGGAACTGTAGAAATCCAGCTGGAAAACTTCACTGTCAGATGAGAAACTTAAATGCAGTGGTGTGAGGATGAGGAGGGTGAGCCCGGGCAGCTCAGGAGCTCTATTCATTGTGGTGACTGTTTTCTGAGACACACCTGTTACATCAGCATTTCTGCTGCTTTAAATGTGGATTATGTGAAGGAACATCACTTAGTAAACCATGGTTTTATGCAGGTGCCACTTGTCACCTACTTGGGGACGTGTTTTACTGGTGAACTTTGTAAGACCTTTGTGGCCAAATTCCTGTTTTAAACCAGTGTGTAACAGGACCCTGCTGGAGTGTTGCCTCTGAGGATGGCAGAACCTGAAGGAGTCTCTCACATGTTTTAAAATCACAGTGTTGCTCATTAAATTAGGGGGGAAAAAAAATGGGAAAGACCCATGCAGTGTTCCTGCTGCTGGCCAGCCCAGCCTGTAACTCAGAGACCTCATAGAGGGATTCAGAGACCCTGTCACTGTGCTCCACAGGTGAGCCTGGAGAGCTTGGAAGTTCTTCCTGAAGTACCAGGGGCAGGTGGAACATGGGAGCAGTGGGAAAGGCATATGGATGGTGTGTGTTTTCCTGGGTCTGACACAGGGAGGAGGAGAGACTGTGATGTGGAGTGTCTTTGAAGGAAAGAGGTCATGTTCAAGGAGCCCCTGGGATGTGCAGAGCTGCCAAAGCAGCCTTGCTATTTGAAGTGTCTTCTCTGTCCCTGCCTTCAATCTGTGTGTCAAACTTGGGAAAATGGACAGGGGAGTCACTGTGGAAGCCAACAGGGCTTGGAAGACACATCTGGGAGGAGACTCCTCACTTTGTGGTGTTGCTGTGGCTCTGGGAAGACCCTGGGTGTGAGGCTCAGGGGTGGGGTGTCCTGGCTTCCAAGGGTCACTAGGGATCTGAGCTCATTCCTGAGGCTGGATCCCCTCAGATCCTCCTCCTCCTGTGCCAGAAACCTACGAGGAATATGTAAGGAATTACATCTGTTTGGTGTTTTAATTCCAGCTGACTGTGTCTTAGGTACTCAACATGACTGACATAAGATTGCTGTGGAAAAGTGGCCACTGGGATGGGGCTGGGTGACATCAGGTACCTCCAGCAGCCCTGTGAGAGAGATCCCCTTCCCAGGGACCAGCTGTGTGCTCACCTGAGCCCCTGGGCATGCATTTCTTCTTTGGAGAAAGCTGCCCTGTTACCTGCTGAGCAAATCCCAGTAAACCCAGCAGATTTTAATTTAGGACTATTCAGTTATTTTTATTCCAGCGCAGCAGGCCGGGATATCCCAGGGCACAGCATGGATAGTTGGCTGTTCTCTGGAACTGACTGTCCCCCCTTTTCAGGATATGATGGATGATATCTGCCAGGAGCAGTTCCTGGAGCTGTCCTACCTGAACGGTGTCCCAGAGCCGAACCGCGGCCGAGGCGGCCCCGGGCGGGGAAGGGGAGCAGCTCCACCACCACCTCCACCCGTTCCAAGGTATCCTTCCCAAAAGCACAGACCTGGAAGTGCTGCCTTTTGCTCAGAGTTATCCTGTCAGAGGAGGTTAAACTGCTTGTTCTTGCACATCAGCTGTCGGGCTCGACCTTGGATTTTGGCCAAGGCTTCTCCAGCCTTGTGTTGCAGGCTCGCCTGGAGCACGCTGGCATCCGATGTTTTGCATGTTTTGAGATGTAATCTAACACAGTGGGTGTCTTCTGTGTTATTTTTGATGTCTGCAATCAATAGTTCTGTAAAGCAACCTTTCAACAATTGGCCCGTGAAACTGTGTGTAAACAGATCTTGTGCAGCCTTCAGCAGAACAAGCATTTTCGGATTAAACTGGCATCGTTTGAGAGCTCTGGGATGGCATCATTCTGTCAGTGCTGTCAAGGCTCTGGGATAAATTGGCAATAAAACTGTTACTATAGTTCTTTCTTCACTCCCTGTTTCATGGGGTAGTGTCTTTCCTTCTGCCTGTTCAGCCCTGACATGTCCCTCCCTCATCTCATCACTGATCCTTACGGACCTGCAGGTCTGGAAGCCATCCCAGGTCAGTGAACTCCGAGAAATCACCCGCCCAAAGTCCTGTATGGCATTTATTCCTTTGCCTGTACATCTAATGCAGCAGAATTCTCATCCCAGGGGAGGTTTTAGCAAATATTGCAGGGGCACAGTGTTAATTCTCGTGCTGATAAAGCCTTCATGGCTTTGCTGAGGACAGCTCTGTTTAGTTACCGAGTTGTTGCATTTTAAAGCAGATACAAGAAGCAACCTCAGTGTCCTCGCAGGAGCTGCTCACAACCCTCTTTCTCTCCTTCCAGGGGCCGTGGGGTTGGTCCCCCTCCTCCTCCTCCTCCTCGGGGGGCCCTGGTGCGAGGGGCCCCAG